TAACTTCCCCAGGGCTTGGAGTTTTAAGGGGTAAGTAGCCGTGCTTTTGCTAGGCTGGGACGCCTATGGGGAAGTTCGGGGAAGTGCGCGGAATTTCTCTGTGGGCAGGGAAGCAAAAGGGATTTATACCAATGGATGCTCAAGCTTTCCCTTTGTGACCAGAATTTGCTCCTAGCCTCGCAGCCATATTCCCCTAGTCTGCAAGAAAAGGTGTAATCGATTTAACGGCGTATCCTTTCCCATGGTTGGGAGACCGTTGGCACGGGGGTTTACAGGAGCATGTTGCAGGCATTTTTGGGGGGGCAGGGCGCTGGCCTGGCAGTGGGCGAAGCCACCTGCTGCAATTTAAGCGAGCTGTCTCTTTGGTGTGGTGATGTTTGCAGGGTGCAGGGGACGCAGAAGGGGCCCTGTTTCAGTTCAGTGGCCATGTTATGACGCGTGTCGATGTTGTGAACTTCGGCGGCTAGTGCTCTAGGCCAATATTTTCCGGGGGGATCCAGGAGGACATCTACATGTGGTATGGGGGAGCCAGCCAGCCCCTCAGCCCCTGAGATTTCATCTCTTCGGCGTTGGCAGGACCTCGAGGACGAGTGCGTGGGCCTTAGACCCGCTGGCGGGAAGATCAAGCCATTGGACGGGGAGAATCCAAAGCGGGGCCACAGGGTGACGCGGCCTCCCTTGTGAACTCGTCGCCTTCCGAGGTTCTTTGAGCGGCACAGAGGCGACGGAGGCTTCATGGGGAGAGGGGGTCGAATGACTTCCAGTGCAAAAATATAGATAAGAAAGGTCGGGGGTTGAGACACCCCCCAAAGAGACAATCGTGGAACCTGACCAGACGCTTTATGAGAAAACTTGTCTTCCAGAGACCCCTATGAAGGTTCTGTGTTTGTTTTTGGGAGGGTGGCCATTAAGCCAGGGCGCAAATCGGGTTTGAGCAACCCTCGAAGCAGAAAGCAAAGTGCGAGTGCCACAAACCTCATTTTGTGGCCTGTGTTCTTGTAGAGGGTTTAGTTGGGTCCCCCCCCCCGCCCCCGTTTCACCTCCACAGATCTAAGCCACCAGTGTCGCAAAATGATTTCTGAGAGTGGGGTGTTACAAGCGACATTTCTCGGATGACCGAAAGGGAGTCCAAAAGGGAGGGTTGAGACTAGAACAAGCCCACGCCATTTTCGGCGCCTCGTTGCCGTGGCCACTCCTTGGTCTCCATCCTTGCCTCCCAGCTCCCAACTTGGAGCCCTGCAAGGACTTGACGGCGGGAGGTTCGGTTTGGAACAGACCGGACGGCCAAGATCCAAGAGGGTCGAGGTTCTTTTGGCTTCCCCGAGCCTTGAAAGGGCCCCCCCAATAAAAGAAGACACCGATGTGGGCGTGCCCCTTCTTTTTTTGAGGGTCCCCGTTTTTTTGGCCTTTGGAGGGCAACGAAAAGGACCATCGTCATTTTGGGGGGGTTCCCTACAAAAGACACCCATTTGTGAAATGGCTGGTAGTTACACCCCTTATGGATTCAACAGTCAAGTCAACCGCCCCTTCAACCTGCTTTCGACGGTCAGTCAGCAAGTCACCAACGGATCCCACGGAAGCATGGGCACTTTTTGGGACCCGATTGGTTGGGCTTCCCTTTTTCCATGGCAGAGGTGCTGAGAGCGTCTTGCAAGCGGACCCAGTTGCGCTTGCCAACTCGGGCGACGGGTGTTCCCCAGGTTCAAGTTGTTGAAAGAGAAGGCTTTGGCACGGGCAAAAGCCGCATCTCCAACTTTGACACGACCACCTGTTGCGCTTTTCCGGCCAGCATCCCCAACCAAGGTTGCAAGGGTTCCGGGGTTGTTCTTTTCAAATTGGCCATCTCACCTTGGCAACAAACAGTTAACTACCGAAACGCTTGTTGGCAACACACTTGGTTACCCAAGTGATTCGTTATCTTGATGGCAACAGCTCCTCCAAGTGTTTTTGTTTCTCCTTTTTTTTATTTACTTATTTATTTGTTTTATTTTTCTGATCCGATTCCTCGATGAAAGGCTGGCATCAAAGGGAAACCACATGTTCACTCACATTATTTCTTTCTTTCTTCGAAGATTTAGAGACATCCGTTTGCCACGCCTTTTTTTAATTTATTTGGGCGCCGCCCCGGTTTGGGCCCCATGTTTCTCTGTTTTCTTTTCGTAAGACACCCATTTTCGGACCCCTCGACTCCCCCCCCCCCCGGGACCCGGACGCGCCGAGAGGCCGGAAAGGCGGAGGCAGAGGCGGAGCTTCAGGAGCTCCTGGAGGAGAAGGCGAATGGAAAAAGCTCCAGGGAGGCTTTTTGTTTACCGTTTTTTTTCCTTGCTTTTGTTTTTGTTTAAGGTGTGTTTTCCATGTTGTTCTCGTTGTTTGGTTTGTTTGTTTATTTTGTTTGCTTTCATGTTTTGTTTTTCTTTCTCCTATTTTTTCCCCTGTTCTTCTTGGTTCCCGTTTTTTCTCACAGATGGCTGCCTTGGTGCCGAGCCACGAGCTGCAAACAAGCCCAGACCCGGCCTCAAGATCTCAGGCCAAGAACTCACCCGGGAAAACTCTCAACTGCCACCAAATGAGAGCCAATAGGCTGGTGATGCCGGGAATGCGGCCAACCAACCCCGACCCGCACCTCAACCTTTTTCGCATTACTTTTCAAATGTTTTTTGAAAGTTTAGTTAGTCACTGTTCAAGGTTGCGGGACCTGCAGGGGAAGCCCAGCAACCCCTCACCTCTCAGGTGCCTCCAGCCGGGAGGGACTGTGGGGTTCTATTGGGGGGCACAGACTTGAAGCTTCAGCAGAAGGCTTACCACGGAGGTTCCGTTTGTTTCAGAGGAGCAGCCATTGACCAAAGGCGGTGTTTTCCATTCAGCGTCCCTTTGCGCACACCCAAACAGGGACAACAGTAAATGTTCGCCGGCTCTTGCTGGCCTACTTGCCATCATATTTTTGGAATTGAATTAAATGGTTTGTTTTGGTTTGGTTGGTTGGTTGTTTGGTTGGTCGGTTGGTTGGTTGGTTGGTTGGATTGATGGATGGATGGATGGATGGATGGATGATTGGCTGGATGGTTGGATGGTTCGTCAGGTCGGGGCTCAGTGAGCGTGCTTGTTGGGTTGGCTTCGGGTTTGCGTGAGCTTTTGTTTGTTTATTTATACGTTTGTTTGTTTGTTTTGTTTGTTTGCTTGCTTGCTTGCCTGCCTGCCTGCCTGCCTGCCTGCCTGACTGCCTGCCAGCCTGCCTGCCTGCCTGCCTGCCTGCCTGCCTGCCTGCCTGCCTGCCTGCCTGCCTGCCTGTCTGTCTGTCTGTCTGTTTATTTGTCTCTTTGGTTGGTTGGCTTGGCTTGGCTTGGCTTGGCTTGGCTTGGCTTGGCTGGGATTGGTTTGGTTTGTTTGCCTGCTTGCTTGCTTGCTTGCTTGCTTGCTTGCTTGTCTGTCTGTCTGTCTGTCTGTCTGTCTGTCTGTCTGTCTGTCTGTCTGAGTGTCTGTTTGTCTGTTTATTTGTCTGTTTGGTTGGTTGGTTTGGCTTGGCTTGGCTTGGCTTGGCTTGGCTTGGCTTGGCTGGGATTGGTTTGGTTTGGTTTGGTTTGGTTTGTTTGTTTGTTTGTCTGTTTGTTTGTTTGTTTGTGTCAGTTTATCTGTGTGTGTGTGTGTCTTTTTGTGGGGTTGCACCAAGGTGCAGATTAAGTGCTGGGAACTTTGACCTCCAAAAAACATTGTCCAATCCCGCTTAGAATTTGTACGCTACTTCAACCGCCGCAGCATCAGCATACGTTCCCAGGCTCGGAACTAAACACATGAGGACCACTTTGTGACATCGTCTTGGAGGGCCTTAACCCCGCCCCCTACCCCTGAATCTTATCGTCTCTGGTTTGGGCCATACCTGGGGTTGAACAAGTATCCAGAGAGGTTTTAGATTCTAACCGCGCCCATTCGAGAATCCTTCTCCTCGGAGAATGACCCAGACGAAACGGGCGGTTTCTTTCCAGAAGGATCGGTGAATAGAATGGAGCATGTTTTGCCGAAAAAAAACCAAAAAGAAGGACAACAGGTAAGGCCACCCTTGGCCAGATGGCCTCACTCGACCTCACTCGCTGAGTTACTGCACTTGATGCGTTTTGGGCCTGGACCGTTTTAGTGGCAAACAACGGGTGTGGACTGGGAAAACGCCCTCCGTAAGCTAAGGCAAAACGCCAGGCTATCCAGCCACTTGCGCCATCCACTTTGCTGGTGTGCCTTTTGGACCCAACAACGGGGTGTGTGTGGGCTCTGCACCTGCGCGGGTGGGCAAAGACCGGACCCCTCTGCCACAATGGCTTTCTCTTTTGTGTGTGATTTTTTTTGGGGATCCCCCAAAAAGTGGGCTTCACGGGTTTTCCTTGAAAGGAATGCCTCTGACAGGGCTATCCTTCAAAAAGAAGACGCGCTGCCCTTGGCCCTGCCGCCAATCGCTTGCGATAGGAACGCCTGGAGTCCCGTCTGGCGGCGCCGGGGCCCCCTTTGACTCGCTTTGGGGCGAAGCGAGTCCCGGCGGCCCGGGCGTGTTTTTTTTTTTTTAATCATAATAGTTAATTTTTGCGTGGAGAACGGGTTGGTGATTTGGCCATGGTGGGGTTTGAAGGCCGCTTCCTCCTTTTATTTTTTTGCTTTAAGGCTTCTTCCTCTTTCTGAAGGAAATCCCCTTCAAAGTGGCAGGGTGCCACAGAGGGGGTGATCTTCCACAGCGGTGTTTTGGGTTGGCGAGCGCGACCCGTTTTATGGGGCTTGACGTCCTGGATGGCGCATCCCGTTTTCGGGGGCAAATTGTGTTTTTTCTTTTCCATTTTCAGGTAACGACACCGAGGTTACTGGGAGTCTTATGTATTCAGCTCCCAGTTTTTAAGGTATTAACCCCTTCTCGGTGGGGGCCCAGGATGGTGAGGAAAAGTGCATTACATATAGCGGGTGTCTCTTGGACGCTCGAAAATGCCGGTGCAATGCCCCAAAAGGACAAAAGTGATCCGCGCGCCAGTGGCCCAAGCCGGTCCCTACCCGGTTGCGAACCAACAGGGCCTTCGCTTCTCCCCCTTTCCGCCCGGACCTCCTCGGGCTGGGCGCGGGCGGAGAGCGGAGTGCCATCCATGGATTTCAATGTCAAGACCTACGGCAGCGCGGAGTGGCAGCCCCGGCAAGGCCTCTCCTGCGGCTCGGCTCGGCGTGTTCTCGGGTTCCAAAACGTGATGGAAGCATCTGCGGATGGATGGCTTTCATGTTGATCAAGCCAGGGGTTTATATTAATCCGGGCCGACATTCGGGATGCAAGGGTTATCATACAAGGGATGGTGGTGGACGGGTGATCTGGAGAATGTGTGGGGGGGGAGACTGGATGAATGGTGCGTATGTAGAGCTTTTTGATTCAAAGGTAATCCCGAAGGCATGGACAAAGAAGCCATGAAGCAGCGTGCTGCTTCCGATAGCTCAGAAAGACTCGGACAGGGTTTCGGGGGCTTGCAATATTCGTGCGTTGCAGTACCCGCACTCAGTAAAAACATTGCTCTGTTTTCTCAGCTGTTGGATCAGACGATGCATCGTTCTGCTCCAGACTCATCGTGCTGTTCCACACTCATCGTTCTGTTACAAGGCCTCGTTCTTTTCCATTTTCGCAGTTCGGTGTTGCCTCTCGGGGGTCCGTTTGTTTTTTCCTACTCTTCTAGCCCTGTTTGGGGAAAAGTTGAATTTTGGATCTGTTCGCGAACATCGTTCTGTCGGGTTTCGACAGGGTTCAAACGTAGACGCCCCTTTGATTTGGGGCCTTTGTTGCCAGGGTGGGGGGAGGTTGCTGGCGCTTGTCCCAGTTTGGGGTCACAATGTGGCTGTGAAAGCCTGTTGGGCGGCCGGGCTTGTTGGTGTTCGTGAGATCTCCACACCCTTTTGGCAAAAGCATGTCATGTTGCATCCATGTTGGGGAATTGTTGGAATAGCTAATGGGAATGGCTAAGGTGACCTTTTTTGGATATATTTGGGCCACTTCAATCACCGAAACAACAGCTGAGGATCCCAATGGTTGTAAGTGGGTTTTGGATGTATCCTTCCGGAAACAGCTCGAAAACTTGAACAAGAATCTGCCTGACAAGCCCTAGAGTTGTACAGTAAAACCACCAACCCAACGCCAAACTACCCGGCACCTCCGAGGGTTGAGCAAACAAGTTAGGCTTAAACCCGGTGGCTGATTTTCAAAAAATCCCAAATGGGAGATGATTCCTGGGCATAATGTTCGTCCGTCCGTGCGTCCGTCCGTCTGTTCGTCTGTCTGTCTGTCCTGTCCGTGTGTCTGTCTCTGTGTGTCTCTGTTCGCCTCTGTTTGTCTCTGTTTGGCCGTGTCTGGCTGTGTCTGTCTCTGTCCGTATTTGTTTGTCACTGATTGTTTGTGTCATCCTTTGTCTGTCTATGTCGTCTCGTGTGTCTCTGTGTCTCTGTCTGTCTCTGTCTGGCCGTGTCTGTCTCTGTCTGTCTCTGTGTGTCTCTTTCTGTCTCTGTCTGTCTGTCTCTGTCTGGCTGTGTGTGTCTCTGTTTGTTTTTGTCTGTCTCTGTCTTCCTGTGTGTGTCTCTGTCCGTCTCTGTTCGGTCCTCGTCGCTCGTCTGTCCGTGCATCCGTGCGTCCGTGGGTCCGTGCGTCCGTGCGTGCGTCCGTCCTTCCGTCCTTCCTTCCTTCCTTGCTTCCTTCCTTCCTTCCTTCCTTCCGTCCTTCCTTCCTTCCGTCCTTCCTTCCTTCCTTCCTTCCTTCCGTCCGTCCTTCCTTCCGTCCGTCCGTCCTTCCTTGCTTGCTTGCTTGCTTGCTTCCTTCCTTCCTTCCTTGCTTGCTTGCTTGCTTGCTTGCTTCCTTGCTGTTTTTGTGTCTGTCTCTCTGTCTGTCCTTTCCTGTCCTGTTTCGTCCCATCCTGTCCTGCACTGTCCTGCACTCTCTGCGTCTGTGTCTGTTTCTGTGTTTGTGTCTGTGTCTGTGTCTGTGTGTGTGTGTGTGGCTCTTCTCAGATTGGCCAGGGAAACCAGCAACAGCGACCACCATTTTGGGGGTCGTCACGACCCGGGGTCGTCCTATTTTGGGCTCAAACAGTTATATGGTATACGCATGATTGAATTGGGTTGGACCCCACCATGGCTGTTTCCTGTTGGATCCCTTTCAAACCCAACAAAAGGGAGCCCCCCCAACCAAGCAAGAACAACTAGAAACTCACAAAACTCACCCAAAGTATGTAGGCTCTTCCCCCCCCCAAAAATAAATAAATAAATCAATAACCAATAATAATACAACAAAATACCTCTCCCGGGTTCAACTGCGGCCCGCCCGGCTGGGCTCGCTCGCCGAAAGTGAGGCCGGGCGCTGGCGGTGAGCACCGCCCAGCTGGCGCTGCTGGTGCTGGCGCCCTGGGCGCTCTTCGCGTTGCTGTGCTGGGGCCTGATGTCCAGGCCGAGCCCGGAGTGACTGGCTGTAGTGTTCACCCCCGATGCAGAACCCCCGGTTGATAAAAAAGGGGGACCTCGATTTGTTGGAGAAGACCGTTTGAGTTCTTAAACCCAAAAAAAAAGAGCTCCGACTTTTCTCCTGATCCACCCAGGATGTGTGGCTATGAGCCAAAAGTCAGAGAGATGAACCGCATTGGGTCGGGCCACGGACCAAAGCTCCACCCCCCTCCCCCGCGGATTGGCTTGGACCAGTTGCTTACAGAGCCTCGCAATTTTAGCAGGTCCTCCTTGGCTGCACAAAGGTTGCAGCAAGGCTCCTCTTGGTCGAATCGACCCGTCCTTTTAGCTTTTCATTTTGGGCCATTTGTTGTGCCCCAGACAGTGCTCGCCTTTTTTCCTGGGTCCTTTCAGCTGGCTGGGCATACCTTAAACTTACGAGAGCCTAGAACCAAGCGAGGAACCAGCTCTGGGCGCTCAGGCTGGTGTACCTCCACAGCTGGCTCCGGCCGATTTTGGTGGTGACTGCTGTGGCGCTGGTCTTCTTGAGCCTCCGCCGGAGGTGAGTCACGTGCTCAAAACCGATTCGGGTAAGTGAAGGTGAGTAAGGGCCAAGCCCGGCCATAAGCAGCTGCGGATCTCCGCCTTCTGAATTCTTGAAGCATGGCTCGGGGATTACGACCATTTTAAGACCGATCGGTTTTGATTATGACTCAGGGGCCCGTTTTAAGTTTGGTTGGCAATCCCGCGAAACGAAGCATCCTGCTGGTTCAATCAACGATCCCGCGCCTCACCGTGCCCTGTCCAAGAATGAAAAGGGGGTCAGGGTGGAAGAGGAGAAACACGTCTCGAGAGGATGCTCAAAAGCACGGGCTCCGTTTTGCCCGCGGCGTTCACGAAATGCCAAGGGACCAGCCCGAAACCCATTTGACACTCCTTTTGCTTCTAAGAAAACAACAACCCCAAAAAGAGCCCAACAATCCATTTGACACTTCCCCCACTAAGAAAACAACGCCGGCACCCTTTCGCCTTCAACGGGGCCCGGAGCTCACCCCACCCCCCCCCCCAAAGCCCCCGAAGCGAAGCCCAGGATGGTGGGCGCAGCCTTCATGTCGCGCAGCAGGTGGCTGCGGAAGGGCGGCCGCATCGGGGAGGCGGGCTCCAGGTCGACGAGGGGGACTCGCCAAAAAAGGCTTCCCCGAGCTGCCCAAGAAGCGAACCTCTTTTTTTTTTTGGGGGGGGGGGTGAGCTGCCCACAGCGAACTCTTTTTTTTTGGTGTGTAAAGCAAAGGAACCTCTTTCAGGTTACTTTGCGGCCAGCGAAATCCCACAGAGAGGCGCTGGATTTTGGGCCACTTTTTGGGCTTGGAACATTTTAGTGGCAAGAAGTCTTGGACTTTGGGCCAACCCACAGTGAGAAATGGTCCCTGCACATTTCCAGGGACCTCAAGCAGAACTTCGGGGGGGGGGGTATTTTCCAGTCTGTTGGGGCTTGGGTTTTTTGATGCCCCGTTTTAAGGTTGGCGGAAGGGCAATCACGAGAGGAAAGCCACAATAATTTACCTGTGGCAGGGACACAAACTTTCTGACTCAAAATGGTAGGTAATGCGGGGGAACCAGCATTCGAAGTTATTTGCGATTCTCCTTTGGGCCTTTTGTTTGGCGGGGGTCGTTCAGAGGGGCCGACGATGGCATGCGAACAACGTCGCGTTGGTTGTTGGGCTGGGCGAGCAATGAATTTGTTTGGCTTTGTTGAGGCACCATTGTGTCAATCCTGGCTTTGCATAGATTTTGCCAGGGCCTAGTTCAAGGCTTGATGCTTGAGAGGCACGGGCACTGCCTGTGAGCCTGGCTGCCTGCGTTTGAAGCAGCCTTTGCTTGGGCCTAAAGAATCAGCAGACAACCTAGGCCGAGAGAGAGAGAGAGACAGAAAGAGAGAGAGAAAGAGAGAGACCCTAATCCTCCCAAAGGCATTGCAAACGCATCTTACCAGGTATCCCTTAGTGGGTGGTTTTGATAGGCGATTTGGAGTCGGACTTGAACCCCTGGTTCTTGAGGGTTAGTTGGGAAACAACGCCGCTTCACATCCAAACCACTTAGGGGAAGCTGTTGACCCCGGATTCAAAAAACGTCGTATTCATAGGGGGTGTTCCCCTCCAAAAGAGACGAAAAGGCGGCCCCCCCCCTGTTAATCAGCCAGGGGTTCTACTTAGATCCAGGCTCGACAAAACGCGCGAAGAGGCTGAGCCCCGTTTCATGCGCGCCTACGTGTGGTGGGCGGCGCTCGCCATGATGTGTCTGGTGGCGCTGGTCGCTGGGGTTGTGGTGGGCGTCCGGGCGTGAAGATTGGGCTTTTAATGACTTTGACCTTTTGGGCGGGCCATCATACGCACATACAAGTTGCTGTGACGTTTTGACGCCTGCCTTTGAACGGTTCCCAAAAGGTTCACCCTTTTTGTTAGCCACCCGATTGTGCAGAGCTCGAAGAAAGCCCGGATTGTGCCCTTTGAATGGGCTTAATCCCTGCGGCTGCCGATTGTTTTCTTTGTGGGGTACATCTCAAGGGGATTTGGCTCTTTAATCAATGCTAGTAAACAACTATAATGATGTTCTCATCCAAGCATTTTCAAACTCGTTTTGTAGTTTTGTGACCGTTCTGACTCACTTCGCTCAGGAGTTGCCGTGCTTCCGACAAAGAAGCGCCCCGCTCTCATGAAGACACCCTCAAATCGTTGCTTGGTCTCCCTTCAAAGCAGCCCAACAAGGCTCCTCATTAGGGTTTGTGTCAAAATAGGGGGAGCTGGAGATTATTCTTTTGGTTTCCTTTCACACCTATGTGAGTAAACACCTGCTGGCAACTCTTAGCGCCAGCGTTTCACATGCACAACTGTTGCCGCTGGCAGAGCGAATGCGGGGTGGTAATGTGCCATTGCAACGCGGCGCCTGTAAAGCAAGCGTCCTTCCGTCACTTTGGCCTTTTCCAGAGATCTCCTAGCAACCAAACTCCCTCCAGGCGATTGCAACGCCATGTGCCACCCCGCCAGCTGCAATAGGACGCGCTAGAGAAGCCGCATGAAAAGGCAGCGCCCTATTTTTTTACAGCTGCGCAGCCTGATGTATGGCTTTTCTGGCATTTGGACCCAATTTCTCCAATCCTGTCACCTGATTCATGCCTTTTTTCAAGACATTTCCCCAGCTTGGACCTTGTACCCTAGTGTCACCGCATATTTCCCATGTGTTGCCATAAGAAGAAAGAAATACAAACACACACACACACACACACACACACACACACACACACACACACACACACACACACACACACACACACACACACACACACACACACACACACACACACACACACACACACTCACACACACACACACACACACACACACACACACACACACACACACACACACACACACACACACACACACACACACACACACACACACACACACACACACACACACACACACACACACACACACACACACACACACACACACACACACACACACACACACACACACACACACACACACACACACACACACACACACACACACACACACACACACACACACACACACACACACACACACACACACACACACACACACACACACACACACACACACACACACACACACACACACACACACACACACACACACACACACACACACACACACACACACACACACACACACACACACACACACACACACACACACACACACACACACACACACACACACACACACACACACACACACACACACACACACACACACACACACACACACACACACACACACACACACACACACACACACACACACACACACACACACACACACACACACACACACACACACACACACACACACACACACACACACACACACACACACACACACACACACACACACACACACACACACACACACACACACACACACACACACACACACACACACACACACACACACACACACACACACACACACACACACACACACACACACACACACACACACACACACACACACACACACACACACACACACACACAAACTAACACACACACACACACACACACACACACACACACACACACACACACACACACACACACACACACACACACACACACACACACACACACACACACACACACACACACACACACACACACACACACACACACACACACACACACACACACACACACACACACACACACACACACACACACACAACACACACACACACACACACACACACACACACACACACACACACACACACACACACACACACACACACACACACACACACACACACACACACACACACACACACACACACACATAAATCCGAGGCAACGTCTTGGCCGGGCGCTACATGCATGGCTACTACGACCTGGCGGATATGGCGGCCTACGACAACGTGAACCCCGCGAGGAGCAGCGGGAAGCAGCTCCTGGACGCCGGGCGCGTGGTCTTTACCAAGGGCGCGCATGTGGATCTCAGCCGCTCCATGGCGCCGCTCGGGTTGAGGTGGGTGAAGCGGGTGAAGCGGGTGAAGGTGTCGGGTGATGAGAAATGGAATGAGGCTTATAAACCCATACTGGCGGTTTCGATAGGCAGGGAGTGAGACATGGAATGAGCCTTATAAGCCATCTAACTGGTGGTTTCCTTTGATGCAATCCGGTTGATTCCCTCACCTGAGCGCCAGCCAGATGAACAGCCGGAACCTGAGGTTCGGGACCCGGTCCCTTTGAAAGGAAAATGGTCTAAACCAGGACCGATTCCCCCAACGTCGAACGGTTCCATGTGAATTGGTGGGAGGGTAAGTGGGGAGGGAAGGCTTCAACAATTGGGGAAATGGGCTTTATCCTTACGTTAAGGGGGAGGCGGGTGAAGGGGGGGAAGGGAAAATGAGTTTCCATCCAGAGGTGGGGATGGTTTGTCTTTCTCTAGGGGGCCGTTTCCTGTTGGTCAAAAAAGGGCACCCCTCAAAAAAGGACACGCGCAAATCAGTACCAACTCAAAAAAGGGAATGGCTGGTTTCTGGAAAAATCGAATCAAAGCCGAAAAAACAAAGCACAAGTGGGGTGCTCAAACCCAGGTGTATTCAAGTCTTACTTACTGCTTCATCCAACTGGTGCAAGCAAATTGTCCACCGCAGGGGGACGTGTGTGGAAAGGCCCCTTGTGCAAGTGGCATTTTCCAAGGTTGTCTCCCTTAGAAGGGTTTTCCACGGAAGCCGTTGAACAATTGCAGCCCACACCAGTCTTAAAGACCCTACTGGAACTCGGGTGATTGTTTGAAGATAAGTTCGGACCACGTTTTTTCTTTTCTTTTTCTAAAATCCGGAATGAGTCGTTTGACCGGTTTTGCGTTTGGACTTGTGCCGCCGCTCCCCCGCCCAAAAAAAGAGATAAACAGGTAGTTGATAACATGTTTGGATCGAAGAAGCCGGGGTTCTTCCTCGGGAGTTAAGGTACCAGAACTCTTCCCTGTTCTGTGTTGCGCCCATCGTGGGCGCTTTGGACCAGCCCTTGCCGGCAATCTTCGACGTATGGGCGGCTGGCAAGGCCGGAAAACGTCGCCGGACCTTCGTAGCATTCGAATGCCGGACCCTGGAAGTTCTACGTCGCTCGTCATTTTGTGGAGTTTGCGTTTCTTACAACTATGAATGCCCCATCCGGAAGGAACCCTCGGTGCTTAAAGGGTCTCTGTGCTTGAGGTAGATGTGGTCATCAACCTCCGAGCCATGTGAACCCACATAGATTGAGGTGGAACAAGGGTCATTTTGCCGGAAGCAATTTGAAAAGGAGCATTGTTCCTCGTAGATAAATAGATCTATACCTACACACATATTAGTTGTTCCAGACCCCCTCTTCCACACCCAGCCTCTGCAGGTTACTTTGGCTGCTAGGATCCCAACCCGCCCGCCGCCCGGGCCCTGTTCCGCCAGACCGCCATTTCGAGCGCACCGTGGGGAATGTCGCTAGCAAAACTGTCAGGTGACAATGTTCATTTGGTGTCCACTTTTTTTCTTCCTCGGGTACTGATGCACGATTTACACAAGGGAAGCAGATTGCTTGCAATTCCCTTTTTGCAGGTTAACAAAGGGGAACTGGCTGGGTTAAGGTTTAAGGGACGAGCAAACGAGCAGGGGATGGCCGGGGATGGCCATTTGCCCACATGCCAACGAGCAAACGAGCGAAACGGAGGTTTCCCATCACCAGCCAGCTCAACCTGGAAAGTTGTACTGCATGACGCTTTCACCACATCTCGTCGTTTTTTTTTTTAAGAACGCCTTGGCCAGTCAAGTCGATTTTTGCAGAAAAATCCGCCTCGCGCACACCTCGCGCGCCAGGACTGCTGCGGCGGCCCCGGGAACTTCACCTGCGGCGCCGCGGGAAATGCGGCGGCGCGGGGGGGGCTGCGGCTGGTGGGGGAGGAGCAGATCTACAGGCGGCTGGCGCTGGACATCGGAGGGTGCGTGCTGAGCAGGGTTGTGGAATCAAGGGGTCTATTCCCACTTCTGTGATACAAGGGAATCTCCCCCTGTATATGGGGTGTTAGTTTTTGGGAAGCCCTTTTTGTTGTATCACAGAAGTGGTCATTTCCCACAACCCTGGTGCTGAGTTTTTTTTTTCTCCCGATGTTGGGGGCCGGGAAGCCCCAAAAGGCCGAAAAAAGTTGGAGCTTCCGGATTTGAGAGGGGGCTCCCTTCTCCGGGATCTTTTTATTTGAAAAGGGTGTGTTCGAACTTATTTAAAAGCTTTCCGCACGGGTCCCGCAGCTCGTGGAGTTTCAGTTTTTTACCTCCCTTGGGATTGCCTCCGCAGTTGCCTTGATAACCTGGGTTGAAAGCGAATCTGAGGAGGTTATCCCTGATTCAAACCACAATTACAACAACACGGAATGATATAGCATGATATAACCAATCCATTGTTTTCCTAAGGGTTTGTCATCTGAATCGGGTCAACCATTCTTTTAGTGGGGGTTGAACCCCAACGTACCCGATTGAAATTCCAGTTATTCCATTTCCCAAATGTACGTGGGATGGGCAAAATACAGCTAGCAGACCTTTTCCGCCGCTCCCTCCCTTGAGGAGGAGGCTATGGTTGTGGCTTTTGTTTGAGTCGCGGTATCCCTTTCAGGCTTGTTTTGAAGGGCAATCACCACACTTCACGGTGTTTTCCTCATTTAGCCCAATGTAGTCCCCAATTCGGCATCTCACTTTTCGTGAAAATGTTTCTCGTATGCCAAGAGTCTGGTGACTTTTTCTGACCGGAAAAGGGAAGTGAGCCCAGGGCTGCAGTGCAGTACGCCGAGCTGACGTACCACCTGGAGAGCCGATACCCCATCTTCTTCGAGTGGACCGCCGACCCCATCGGCGCGGTAAGCTCCAAGCAGGAGACGACATCAATCGCCGGATCTGGGCCATTCATGTCGTGGCGCTTATGGGCTTTAGGGGCTTTTTTGCCTTTCGCAAGTTCGAAGGTTTTGAGGTTGGTTGGAATTCCTGGCTTGGACTTTGATCACTTGGGAAGACCAGTTTGGTGGCAAAAAAGCTTGGACTTGTCTATTCAAGCAACTGAGGACATGACTGGTTGACCTTTGCCAGGCTGGGACCGTTTTTTGGGGCCCAGCATTTCAATGTGTCCAACCGCGGCCCCCTCACTTTCTGCACCATTTCGTTGGAAGTGATAAAACAAACAGTTTAGACTTTGGGGCCAGTCCAAACTCTTTGGCAAAATGGGACCCTTTTCCAAGGATTCTTTAGGCTTTTCCCACGTTGGAGTTTCAGGGAGGAAATCGATCGCTTTATCTCAGGAGTCGGCCTTTGCCATGTACTTCGTGGTCAACCTGCTGCACCTCGGAATGTGTGGAGCAGGGCGGGGATGGATTGGGATGCATGCCTTGTGACTTGACCCATCTCCCCCAAAGGAAAACAGGACCTCAGTCCAAAGCCGAGCGTTTAACCTTTTGGATTCCCTGATTCAGTCCAGTTTTAGCCGTGGCCCCTTAGCTACTTGGGGATCCCTCGAGAACCTTCCCGCAGAAAAGCGAAACACAAAAAAAAGAAAACCGAAAGCTGGAGGTTCTTAAAGCAACTCCAAGCTGGCCCAATCCAAAAGGCTGGAAAAAGCATGTGCGACCTGTTGTTTTGACAATCTGCTTGTTGCTTCCAACGGTTTTGCAACCAATCATCCACAATCACACCCGGTCAAGTGCACGTTAGAAGACAGGCCCATACACAGATGCGTCCATGTTGATTCTTTGCCACGAGTGTGGGTAGGCCAGGCTCTCCCCATATTTCGAGTTCAAAGTTACTTTCCGTTTGGCGCATGTTCTCGTTCCTGAAGCTGTTTTAGGTAGACTGATTTCAGGGTTAGTCTAGAACGCAGGTTTGGATGTGGCTTTTGTGGATCCAACCCTGGAACAAATCCAAGGGTTCCTGACAGGAGTAATTGCCTTCTTCTGAGGGCTTGCAGGTGGATTCCACAAGAGACGCAGGTAATCCTTAATCCTTACCTTGTGTAAGGGGTCCCCCTTAGTGGTTCCTTTGTAGGGATGGATTCGGACTAGCCAATCCATTTGCATGTCTTTTTTGTGGGTGCTTGTTGTTTGGTGGTTTGAAAGGGCCACCAAATGCACTAGACTGCCATTTTGAGGGACAACCTCAAAAAAGACAAGCCACCCCGTAACCTGAACAGAACAGAAACCTTGGCGGCTCCGAGCCATCCCCTTAGCTTTTTAGACTTTTAGTGTTTAGTGGGGGTTTCCATTTGACCCACTAAAAGTTAAACTTTTGGCAGGGGATCTGAGGGCAGCCCAGAAACGTATTTGTTTCGGTGAGGTTCTTGCTGTGCACCTTCTTCCTGGTGGTGACGGGCTATGCCTGCTACTTGCGATCTGCCAAGCGCTGAAGCGCTGAAGTCATCCCTTCCTCTGAACGCGACGAGACGAAAAAGAATCCGCGGCGAGCAGATGCCTGAGTTCGCATGTATGTGGGTGCGCTCCTTTTTTGTGTGGAACCCCTACTTGTTGATGGTTTTCCAGAACAGCTGAAAGGAAGCCCACCAATTCAGGGGTCGCCCAAAAAAAGGCCACCGGCGGTTGTTTGGAATCCGGGCCCCAACGCTTGGTGGGAACCGCATGGGTCCCGGTCCTCGTGAAAAATCCGGGGCCCGGTGAGGCTGGGCTCTTCTTTGGAGGGCCTGGAGGGCGACATGGTGAGCTTCAACGAGGACTCGGAATCGGAAGAGGGGCCGAGGGGGGTGGTTGGGCGATTGGGTTGTTCGCAGCAACCATTTTTGGTCGATGTTGGTGCTCAACATTGCTTTTGAGACATATGTGTTCCGACCCCTGACTTGTTTTCGGACTAAAGGCCAAGGAGGGCTCAAATCGACGGCTTGTGGTGGCATCCCGGCGCGGTACTTTGAGAGTTTGCATGGAATGAGGCTGGTTCGACTGCGATGCAAGGAACCGCCTGGGAAGAAATTCATGCTTGGGACGGACTTCCAGTGGTGAATAGCTCAATTGCCACAGCCCTGATGCACCAGGTACTCAGTGATCCTGTGGCTTGATGGGGTGGCACCCTCCATGCCCGCGATATGAACCCTGCTTAGCTCTGCAAGTTTATCGAGCGGAGGTCATATAACTTCTTTCTCGGCATGTTCTTTATTTTTTGCCGGAGGGATTGGCCATCCCGTGAGGTCATAGTGAGCAACAATCAGCTGGCACATGCATGGCAAATCTCTGGATGCATGCTGACTGTACCCATTGGTTGGGGATCCTAGCTGCTTCCTCATGCAACTTCTTGTTCAAAGCCGTGCTCGGCTTCGCAAGAATGTGCTGCGCGCTGGCCGCGTGCATGGCTCCAAGCCGATCGATCTGAACGGCCGCTCGAAGGTGCGAACCGTTCGCATTCAGCGCGGCTCCGGCGCCATGGTCATGAAGGTCGGCGCATCGAAGGCCGCCGAGCGTGGGACGAGGGAGCGGCAAGCAGGGAACGCTTTCTTTGTGGCAAGCTCTGCGGGTAAGATTTACGTGCTCACCAGGTAGGTCCTGTGCAGATCCAATTCTTGCTGCATTTCTTGGAATAGGATGAGCTTGAGTGTCCTTTTGTGAGGGAAGCTATTTGGAGAACCGACGTCTTTGATCTGATTGTAGTGGGGGTCCGATTCCTCAAAACAGACGAGCCACACGCACACACACTTGGCGGATCAATGGCTCTCAGGTTTTCCCCCTCAAACCCAACACAGCCAGAATTGTTGACCGAGGATTGTCATCTGGGTGTGGCTCAAAATTAAACAGGAGGGGCAAACCGCAGGTTTTGGTCCATGTTTCCACTTGCCAGGGTTCCATTTTGGAATTCCGGCTTTTTGAGCCACAGCCATCTATCTTTGTTTCCCCTTGGGGGGCCATTCTTATGAGGGTTCGAACCCCCGGGGGCTTGCTCGCTCATCGTGCCACATTTGGCGGGTGAGGCTCACTGGCTGTGGGGGGTGAGAAGCCTCTCATGTTCAGGGGAAGTGTGATTTATCATCCATGAGTGACACGTGGCTACGAACCTTTTGAGCTCAATGCTTGAAGGGCAAACATCCAACCAAGGATGTCCGCAGCGTAATCCTTTGTAAAGTTCGCATCCATGCGAGAGGAGAGGGAGGACGAATTCGGCGGGGAGAAAGTCAAAGGACGCATTTGGGCGCAAAAGTCGCCTTGGTTTTGGCTTAAAGGCTCAGCAAGTTCTCCAGACTGGCGATCCGAATCCTAAATCGGGTGGCTTTTGGATGTAACTCCAAGAGAGCACCTGGCACTTCAGGTCGGCTTTGCCGGGGGCGGTGGGTTCGGTGGCACTGCCATGCGCTATGTCTTGTCTGTCGTCCACGGCTACTGCTTCGGCCCCTCGGCTTGATGGGGCAACGGGGCACCACAATGTTGGGGTCCATTTCTTTAACTTACCTCTTAAAAACACAACTTTTCAACTTTTTGGGTAACATGGGCTATATGTCTGTAAAAGATTAACTTCCCCAGGGCTTGGAGTTTTAAGGGGTAAGTTAAAGTTTGACGGAGGGCTTGGGAATCAGACAGTTTGGCGGTAGCACCTGTGTGTTTCTGAGCTGATCTCTTTGGCTCCGGGGCTCGGCATGGGCTTTGAAGCTTGTACCAGGGTGGCAGGAGGTCAGAATAGGACGCCCCGCAAAAGTCGCGGCTTTCCTTTTGCCCTCCCCCTTTTTCGCCAACCCCAACAAGGGCACCCTCAAAAAGACTCCTTGCCGAGGCTACTGCGTCTACGTTTTGGCGGTGAAGCCGATGTTCATCTCCACGCGCCTGGCTGTGCTCGATCGATTCCCCAGCCTCAAGGAGGAGTGAGGCGCGGCGAAGAAAGAAAAAAAGCAAACCGCAGAGCTCGTCTTTTTTTTTCTTTTTCGAGCGAGCGCAAGAAGGCGCCCCATTTTTTTATTATTGGGGGGGGGGGTCGCGAACAAGCAACAAAAGGGGGATGGATGTTATTGATACCGGGCCCTGCGGGAAAAAACAACGCCCATCTCCCCAAATCCGTTTGGACAACAGGCGACCCCCTTGCCCCCCAATTTCAAAGTTGGATGTGGCCCTTATTACCGAAGCCTGGATTGAAGTTGGGGGGTCAGGGCGGGGGGGGGGTGCGGGGAAGGTAGTTGGGCGAGACACATGGCTGTTTGTTTTCTTTTTTTTCTCGCAGAACCAGGTATTTTTCCAGTATCCTATTGGGAGGGCACATGGCCCTTTCAAGGCAGAGTCCCTTTGCAAACCTGCTGGATGAAGCATCACCGTTTTGAGCAGGGCTCCCCCGTATTTTCCCTTAGGTTGAAAGCATCGCCTTCAGCTCCAAAAGAATAGGCGGAGAATCAAGTGTCGTTCGCGCCTTTCCCCCTTTGTCGGGTGAATACGTTTGCATCACCGGGCGATTATTTGGGACCCTCCAATAAAACGCAACCTAAGCGATCAATCATGAAGTCCTAAGATGAAGGTTGGGGACCTGCTGAATAAATGTGGGCCCTCCAAACACTGCATGGACTTTTTTTGACCTTGCCTACCTTGGGGGACAAAAAATCATTGCGGATTCACCCCATCCACATGGAGCCTCACAGGAAATTCTGGAAGACCATTCTCCTTCACAACCTGGTCTTCAGGTGGGTTCCCTGGGCCAGAGGGTCCCCGGTTTTTCAATGCCAGCGGAAGCCAGAAGGGTGTTGCTTTGCGGAGGTCTGTGCCGCCGAAGGCAGCTTTCAGCTGAGCTTTCCAGCACTCCGCAAGCGGGAACCGGACGGAGCCCGTGGATGTAAAATGGAAGCGGGAGGTGCCGTGGGATGAAACAGGCAGGTTGCCACAGGCGACCTCACTCTGGGGTTTTCTGCAAAACCCTGTGGCGAACACTGTCTCTTGTTGGCGGCTTAGTTTTTGCGCTCTGGAGGGGGGTGCCTTCCCATTTCGGTTTCAACAGGATACAGAAATTCAGTGTGGGCGGGTTCTAGCGGCCTAAGAGGATGTGGCACGCGACCTCATGACCAAGGTTCCTTCCTTCTAAGGTCTTTGGATTTTCCAAGCTCCCCTATTGTTGCGTGGCATGCGCGGCACTTCATTGACTGCCTGCAGCGTTGGCTCCCTCGCCCTTGGATCCGATTCGGCAAGCGCCCGCTCGGGGAATTCCATTCCCCCCGACTTCGATTGGCCATGGTGATGAAAGTGGGCGCCTCCAAGGCGAGCGCGATTCGCAACGTGGGTCCGGCGGGGCGCGTCGGTTTGGTGTGCGCCTTGCAACTGAGCGGGTTGGAGGCTCCGGGCCCGGGGTTTCAGGGACCCCGCCTCCGAGGTGCTCTTTGATTCTGAGCTGCGAAAAGTGCCTAGCTGCTTAAAAACGAGGGACCTAACTTGATCCACAGCATTTGCCAAGTAACGATACTGAACAGCTTCAGTTTTTCTGGGCTCGGCAGCTCCGCGGTGACCTCAATCTTTCAAAGTCGGGTGTCTGGTCGCGGCGGTGGATCTTGAACTAGTATTTAACGGCCTGCGGCCTGGTTCCGCCGCCCCCACACACCTTAGAATTTCGGCCCGGGACGAGAGAAAGCACGCGATATGTAGACAGACACAGACAGACACAAAGACACGCAGACAGACACGCAGCGGGGGGGGAGGGTCTTCGCGGACACCAAGACAGACGCAGATGCGCAGGCAGACGCAGACAGAGCCAGACAGACACAAATACACAGACAGACACGCGGGGGGGGGGACACGAAGAAAGACGCAGATACGTAGACAGACACAGACAGACACAGACAGACACAAAGAGACAGAGACAGACACGCAAGGGGTCTTCGCGGACACGAAGACAGACGCAGACAGACCCAGACAGACACAAAGAGACACAGACAGACACGCAGGGGCAGGGGGGGTCTTCGCGGACACGAAGACAGATGCAGATACGTAGACAGACATAGACAGACACAGGGGGGGGGCGGAGGGGTGGGGGAAGACTACCCGAAGCCTAGGGAAGAAGCCCGAAAGCACAGGACACGCGCGTTGTTTGGTCCCGAAACAGTATCGGAAGACTAGGAGAAGAAGCCGGAAGATTACGGAAGACTACGGGAAGAAGCCGAAAGATTGCGGAAATTTACGGGAAGAAGCTTGAAAGATTTCGGAAGACTACGGGAGGAAGCCGGAAGACTACGGAAGACTACGGAAGACTACGGAAGACTACGGAAGATTACGGAAGACTACGGAAGACTACGGGAGACTACGGGAAGAAGCCGGAAGACTACGGAAAGACTACGGGAAGAAGCCGAAAGATTACGGAAGATTACGGGAAGAAGCCGGAAGACCACGGAAGACTACGGGAAGAAGCCGGAAGACTACGGAAGACTGGGGGGGGGGGTGGGGGGGGAGGGGGAGGGGGGGGGGGAGGGGGGGGGGGGGGGCGGGGGGGG